GAAAGAAAGAAAGAAAGAAAGAAAGAAAGAAAGAAAGAAAGAAAGAATTGAACCATAATTTGTCCAGAATTGAATGGTATATACAAGGTTTCCTGCTCGGTCATAGAACGGGAGCCAAAACTCACTTAGGACCCGTCTCGTTTACTGACAGGAAGTTTGGGGCGCAACTCATGGTCGTAACTCAAGGGCAGCTTGGAGAAGGCCGAGCTTCTCCCAGGCGCTTCCATCCTTCACTGCCCTGGACAGAGGGGTGGGCGTTCCAGGATTGGGGGGGAAGAGACCCCTCCCCCCCGGAAGCTGCAAAGGCAGCGATAATGGCTATCTGTGCTGCCTGGCGTCGCTTGGCGAGGCGGGCATCATCGTAAATCAGATCCCTCCAGGCAGCTGCTATTGTGCCAGGCTGCAGATTAGCTATAGGGACACAAAAAAAGGACACAGCGATAAAAAAGCAGGCAGGGACAATGGAACACCTGGTGGTCTCTTTCCTCCCTTGGCCCCCACCCCAATCCTGCCTGCCCCCCCCTCCCCTCCCCGGAAGATTTTGAGCCAAAAAACCCACAAAAGATTATTTTTAAGGTGTAAAGGATGTGGTTAACAGGCCGGCCGGAAGGCAGAAAATGTGGCCAAAGGATGTTGAGAGTTGGAAAGGGCGCCTGGGAGGTCATTTAGTCTGACCCCGAAACCCAGGCATGTTTCCAGTGAGAGCCCAGGATGGCATGAGGTTTAGGAAGGGGTCTCTCGAAGAGCATCCAGTCCAGCCGCCTAAATGCTTGACGTATGAAGTGAAATCCCTGAGTTCTGCAATGCAGGTGGTCCTTGACTTATGACCGCCGCTGAGCGCCACATTTCTGAGGCTAAGGGAGGTAGTTTTGCACCCCTCCCCAATGTCACTACCTTCTGGCCCTGGTCGTTATCACCAAAGGGACGTAACTCCGGGATGCTGCAACCGTCACAAGACCATGCCAGTTCCCTCTGGATTTTGAGTCAGGGACCGCAAGGAGTGCTGCGACGGTCGTAAGTGTGAAAAGTGGTCCTATATTCAAGTCATCTAACTCAATCAATGGTCCTAACTCATCAAGGAGAGAAGCAACCTGAAATTAAGGAGGAATTTTACACAATATTACACAATACATTAAATTCGTAGAGTAAGCCAAGATGCGAAGGCGGTTTGTGTTCGCTAAACCTCCCTTGTATAAGCCACCATCCATGTTTCTTGGCAGCCTGGGAGGGATCCGGTTGCAATAACCAGTAACCGAGTCCGGGATCAAGCTGTCGTTTGTGTTGGGGGGTGGAAGTCCGCTGAAAGATCGTTCTTGCCTGGCTGTAAATCATTCATGCTGTTCCGTAACGAAGGCAGGCAAAACACAATATATGTTCTCGTATAATTATCTATCTATCTATTTATCTATCTATCTATCTATCATCTACCTATCTATCATCTTATCTATCATCTACCTACCTACATCTATCTATCTATCTATCTATCTATCTATCTATTTGTCTGTCTGTCTTAAATAGTATTTATTTGAGGTCCGAACGAAGACGGGACCAGCCAACCCACGTCACCTGGATCTCTCTATCCTAAACTACCAAACAAGATAGGTTGACCTGCGGCAGAATGGCGTGCCAATACATTGGCTAATCCTATCAATGTCTTACAAATTCTTGCCGGATTTTGAACGGACGTAATCCTCAGATCTCCTGCGAGGAAAAGGGAGAGAAGCGAAAGATTGCAGATATTTCCCTTGCCATGAATTTAAAGACTTGTGGGGTCGATGCAGGAAGTCCTCGACTTAAGGCCACTTGTTCTTTAAAAAGTGGCTTAGGTCCTCGTAGTTACGACTGTTGCAGGGAACCGGTGTGTATTTACAATGGTTGCAACGTCCTGGGATCAGGTGATCCAAATTTGCGACCTTTTCAGAAGCAATGGGGAAGCTAGATTCATTTAACGACAGCAGGATTCCCTTAACAACGGAAAATTAATTCTGCATTAACTGAGGCCTGGCTTAAATGATTATATTTCTGTTCGATGCAAAGTGGACTTTCCATGCTGCGAAGTTGGAAAGACACCCTGTGCTTTTGTTTTAAGTTGGTTTTGGGCTGGCAGGAATAACGTATCTTGCAGGTTTTTTAATTACCCTTCCGAGCCGCCTTCGCTCCGAGGGCTATTTGTGGCTGAACCGTGTTGGCTCGCCGTGGAAAATGAGATTAAAAACCCTCTAATCTGTCCCATACTGTGCGGTGCAGTTCAAAAGGATCCCGCTGACCTATTTTCCCAGCCGGAGTGATTTTATATTAGCTCTTTGGCCGGAGTTCAATTCTAAGTAAGGTATTCTTCAGCCGAGGCTGGGTGGGCTTTGGCTGGAAAAGCTATGGTGGTGATCTTTTTTCCAGGGCAGGGGTGGGGTAGGGTTGGGATAGACGACCTCTCGGGTCCCTTCCACCTCTGGCATTACGCTTCAAGGGTGGATTGAACTGGTTTTTTTTTAAAAAAGGTCTGGTTTGCAAAGGAATTCTCCCTCTTTTCATTCATATATATATATATATATATATATATATATATATTCATTCTCAAGTTTTATATATGTGTGTGTGTGTGTGTGTGTGTGTGTGTGTATGTGTATGTGTGTCTGTCTGTGTGTCTGTCTGTGTGTCTGTCTGTGTGTGTCTATCTCTGTGTGTGTATGAATATATAATGGAAGCAGACAAGGAGGGAGGAGGGAGGAAAGGAGAGGATGAAAAAAAGAAAAAGAGGGAGGGGTAAGAAAGAGAAGGAAGGAAGGAAGGAAAGAGGAGAGAGGAATGGATGAGAAAGTAAAGGGAGGAAGGAGAGAAGAATGAAGGAAAGAGGGATGGGATGACAAACAAAGAGAAGGAAAGAAAAGAGGTAGAGAAAGGAAAAGAAAGGAAAGAGGGATGGATGGATGGATGAGAAAAGGGAAGGAAAAGGGAGGAAGGAAATAGAGAGAGGAAAGAAGGAAAGAGGGATGGATGAGAAAAGGGAGGGAGGGAGGGAAGTTGTGTGTCTCTCAAGCCACCCACATGACAGCTTACACACCCACCCAACGTGGCCAGAGAGCAACAACACACATCTCCACCCTTCTCAGGAAAATGGGGGCTCAAATTCCTCCCTCTCCTCCCTCAATCGGCCCCTCCCTGACTGTCCTCACCCCCCTTCCCTGCCCACCCAAATTTTGGCTGTCCTCCCCATCTGAGGAGCCTCCCCCCCCCCCACACCCGCCTGGCACACAATCCCTTTGCATAACACCCGCAGACACAAAGGCCACTGTGTTATCAGCTTTTTGCAAAGCCCCATGGGCTACATTTCCATTGGGACTCCGAAGCCCACGCGCCCCTCCCTCCCTCCCTCCCTCCCCCCCCTGCCCATAAAGCTGTCAGAGATGCAGAAAACAAGCTGAACTAATAGGGAGACAAGCCAGGATGGGAGCAAAGCCAAGCCAGGATTGTGCCCGAGGCGCTTGTGACATCCTTTGCACAGCTGCGGCGGGAACGCCGAGAGACCTCGCATTCTGCACTGGGGACACTGAGGCACGGGGCCGGTCCTTGAGGCTGGGTGTAACCTCCCTTGACCAGCGATTAACATGGTTTGCAGAGCAACCGACCTGACCTAACTTACATGATGGTTAGCCTTAACTCTCTTTCGCCCGGTGAAAGTTGGAAACGCCCATGCCCGCCCACCCACCCACACATGCTCCATTCTGCGTCGGGAAAGTGGCGCCAACCTAGCGAGGCGGTCCCTTACCTGGGACAGTGTCCGAGGATGAGATGCAGGGAAGGAAGGTCTCCGTTGGTGGCAGCGTAGTGGACGGGCAGGGCCCCCGTCTCGGTGGGCACCAGAGGGTCGCTGCCCCCGAAGCGCAGGAGCCAGTCGGTGATGTCGTGGTGGCCGAAGCGGGCGGCCAGGTGCAGGACAGTGGCGCCCGAATGATCCGTGTCCTGTAAGAACGGACACGGCGAGGGCATCACAACTCCGAGGCAGTTTGGCAAAGTTTGGGCCACGCACGACAAAGAAAGGAAAGGAAAGGAGGAAGGAGAGAGATAGGATACGGTTGCTGCTCCATCCGTTGGAAGGTTGCGTTCACACAACTTGTTAAACCCAGGTTAACAAGAAACGAGTCCCGGGTTTGCAGCAAACAGCTTTACATAATTTTGCAGGTCCTACAAAATGGGACTGGCTGGGCTCTCCCCACCAACTTACACACCAATTACCCAACCTCATTTTAGTTTAGTGTAAAGGGTTGTGTGAATGGAAGCCATCAAAACAAACTTGTTAGATTCAGGGAATGGCTCCCAAGGGAGTTTTAGCTAATCCTTTTTTGTTGTTTTCTGCAATTTGGAAGGCAAAGATTCATGGAAGTCAAAGGACGCAACAAAAGTAAAGTGAAGTGAAGTGAAGTGAAGTGAAGTGAAGTGAAGTGAAGTGAAGTGAACTAAACTAAACTAAACTAAACTAAACTAAACTAAACTAAACTTTTTTAAAATAAAATTGAGCAAGAAAAATATGTTTAAAAACCTGAAGGGATAACTGGATTTCGACACCGCATTAAGAAGCAAAAGATGGTTAAAGATGGTTTGCCAATTCATTTCACCAATTTCACCAATTTTGTCCCGTTTCCAACAAGCAACGACTGGATTGATGAGACACTCCAAGTTTTTTTTTTAAAAAGTCTTTAAAATGTTCGCTGGCTTAGCTCAGGCAATTCCCACTCTGCACATGCTCAGAGATAGTGTTCAATCTACGAACACACACAGGCCAATAATTTACCTTCTACAATATGCTACATTTTGGAGAGAGAGAAAAAAAATATATTCTTCATTCTTCTTTCTATCCGGAGCCAGAAAGTCGAGCTGGTCCCACGGGCTAGTTAAGCCACAAGGTGGGTCAAAGTGTTGTGAGAATGTGGGGCCGGGGGTCTTGGGAACGGGGTGACCCGTGACACGGCTCCTTCCAGCGGCAAACGTCTCAACTGGACCTCCGCCACGCCCCTTGCGATCAGAGTCGGGGTTGAGAGATTGTGTGAATCCAACACGGGGTCGGTTTCTCGCCCACCTTCGGGCAAGCTGGAGGGAGGCCAGAGGGGCGAGTGGGGAAGAAGCTCTACCTGTCCAGGTAGAGACCCCCAATTTCCCACTGTGGGGGACTGAAGCCGACGCGACCCCTCCCTTATCCCCGCCTCCCTGGCTGCCCTCTGCACGTGCTCAGAGGCTCACTTAGACCCAGGTGGGGCAGCCGCTGCAGGCAGGCCGTGTGGACAGAGGGACAAGAGAGGAAAAGACCCCCACCCACTCACTCGCTTGAGGTCGCCCGCGCCGCGATCCCGACCCTTCGCCTTGTTTCCTGCCCTCTGCACGATCTCAGAGGCTCACCTGAACCGAAACCGAACGGCCCCCACAGGTGGAAAGAAGGGGAACCGAGAAAGCGACCCCCCCACTTCCCTCTCTTGGGGTCCCCATCGGTCTGAAGTGCCCGTGCCGCGACCCTCCCCACCCCTCCTGCCTCTTCGCTTCCTCCCTGCCCTCTGTACGTGCTCAGAGGCTAACCTGGACTCGGGCCGGGCAGCCACCTCATGCAAGCCGGGTGGACAGAGTGGTGGTGGGGGGCAAGAAAGAGACCCCCTCGTTTCCCGTCTTGGAGTCTCCAACAATCTGAAGCGCCCGCGCCGCGATCTCCTCGCGATCCTGCCCCGCGCTCCCCCCACCCCCCACCAAGCCGGCCCTCTGCCCATGCTCAGGGGCTCACCTGGACGCGGCAGCCGCCGGGCCCCAGCAGCCACTGCAGGCAGGCCAGGTGGCCAGTGGCGGCGGCGTCGTGGGCCGGGGTGGCCCCGTTGCGCGCCCGGCCCTGCGCGCCCAGCGCGGCATCCTCCACCAGGTAGCGCAAGCAGCGCAGTTTCCCGGCGCGGGCGGCGTGGTGCACGGGGGAGGCGCCCAGGGGGTCCCGGAGGGCGGCGGGGGGCAGCAGAGGGACCCCGCGGTCGGCCGGCGGAGGCAGCAGCGCCTTCAGCGCCTCCAGATCGCCCTGGCGAGCCGCTAGAAGGGCGCGCTCCCCGGCCATGGCGCTCGCCTGGCGCCCGGCCGGCTCTGCGGGGGCTTCGGCCGGGGGGGGGGCAAGGGGGGGGGGGGGGCTCTGGCCCCACCCCCTAGAGGGAGGCCCCGCCCTTCCTTGGCCGCAGGAGGTGGGGGTTCTCCCACCCCCGGCCCCTCCCTCCCCCTTTCTGCCTCCTCCGACTACTGGCGCAACCTCCGGGAGCTGTCCTTCAGCACCTGGGTGGCTCCTGGCCTCTGAGCATGGACAGAGTGCACCCCTTTCGGTAGCAGCTGGGCTGAAAAAAGGCTGGTTCCGAGGCTCCGCCTTTTTGGCCCACCTTCCTTGCACGGGGGGGGGGGTGTCCTTGCAGGAGGAGGTTTGGAGGGGAGGAGGAGTGAGGGAAAGTAGACCTAGCGGAGATGCAGGGCAGGATCGAAGGGGGAGGTGGAAAGGGATTCCAAGGAGCTGATGCCAGCCCATCTCTAAGGATGCTGGGGAGTTGTGATGCTGTCACACACACACACACACACACAATCTCTTACCAGTCCTAACCCCAAAACCCCAATTCACAAAACTGGACATGAAGCGGAACTTAATCTAAGGCAACGTAACTTAACGTAATTATTTAAATTAATGTCATTAATTTTTATTTTATTTTAATTGTATTTCTATTATATTTATTTTATACTTTATTTCATTTCATTTCACTTTATTCTTTTATTTGGTCTTACTTTTAGTAATGTATTAACATTGATTAATTTTAATCTCAGATAATACGAGACTGCCTTAAAACCTTCTCGTAACTTGTCATCTGGGGAATTCTGGGAGTTGAAGTCCACCCTTCTCGAAGTTGCCAAGTTGGAGGAAGTGCTACAAGATCAAGACTGAAATTTCCACTCTTTGTTTTCCTTTCTTTCTTGGGTGAAGAAAGGAAAGAAATATATTTTTTTCTGACCTGCAGAAGATCCCGTCGGGGGAATCTGTTAGGGAAAGGTCAATGCTCTATTTAGACCACAAGGTGGCGCTTAAAGACCATCCATTAAAAGCCGCCGCTCAAATCAGAACTTCCGTTAGTTTTGCAATTCAAAAAGTTTTAAGAGACACGCCTCCCCTCCCCTCCCCCCCCCTTCCAAATTGGGTGGGTGGGCTCCGTTAAGAAACGGGTGTCTCTATAATACAAAGGCAATGATATGTTATAATTGATGATGATAGAATGGATTATAATATGAATTAAAAGGAGTAAGAATCGACGGTTGCTCTAAAGATAATGCGGATTTGAAATTAAAGTCTAATGATGATGTAATCATCATATAATATGTCGTGGAAAGTTGTCTAATGAAATATGAATGTAAACTTAAATCTAAGAGGAAAAGACTATAGATATTGTGCATGAGAAATATGTACCAACCGACACACTGTATGATTGAGAGAAGGTTTTATTTGTTCTTTTATGTTTGCGTTGGTCTGTTTGTTGTTAAAAATAAAAAATAAAAAACTGGTCTCTCTGCCCCCCTCTGTGTGTTTGTGTATTTGTGTGCATGTGTGTGTGCAAAAGTTAGGCAGGGCCCAGATAATAAATCATCATCCCTCTTCTTAGGACACCCAAGTTAGAGGCTGCAGCCATCTCTACCAAGACATTTCCAACCACAATTCATAGAGGCTGGATGGGACCTTGGAGGTCTTCTAGTCCAACCCCCCTGCTCAAAGCAGAAGACCATCTTGGACAAAATGGCTGTCCAGAGACCCCTGACCATCTTAGTTGATAGAGGCCGGCAGTCACACACACACCCTCCAGGGCAGCTGTGCCCACTGCGTGCCCAATACGGCTTGCGAAAAAGGCCGTTGGAGCAACAGAAGGCTTGGCTGTAGCACGTGCCGCGGAGGAGAAGCGAAGGGTCTCTACAGCACAAAAGACCCTCCCTCAATGATCCCAGCCCCCCCCCTCCCCTGGGGGAGAAGATTCCCAGCCTCCAGACCACCCTGACAGCTCAATTGTGGGAGGGGGGGAGTCTTCAGGTCCTGTTGAGAGGTAGCATTTGAACCCAGACCAGACCTGCACCTGATTTATCCGTTCTTCCCCGGCCTCGTCTAGTCTTCTGGCCTTTCCCTGTGGTCTCCCATCCCAGGCCGATCCTTCTGAATCACTTATTACATTAATTTAGGCAATATTTCTTGGATTTCTTAAAGGGACATGCAGCCTGTCTCTGTCCAAAGGCGAGTTTGCTTTTGGGAAATTGTGTGTGTGTGTGGTTTTTTTGGGGTGCGGCTTGTTCCGTGGCAGCTGGATGGGCCGTTGTGACATCCAGCACAACTTGTCAACAACAACATACACAAAAGATTTTTTGGGGGGTGGGGGAGAGAAGAGGCGCACTTGGGGGCGTCGGCCCCGCCGCGTGGCGCCTTTTCCTGCCGCTCTCCAGGGTGCTGAAGACGCGTGGCTGAGCCAGCTGGAGCAACGCCCCGAGCCGCTGGGGCGAAGCCTAGTTGGACGGGGAGGGGGGGTTATATTAATGGCCCCTCCGAGACCCAAAGCAGCATCTCAGGCTCAAATGTTGGAGGCCTGGAGGGGGGCGGGGGGGCTTTCACTCTACCGACAGGCCAGCTTGGGTAGGGGATGTTGGGGGCCTGTCTGTCTATCAGGAGATCAATTGTTTGTAACTGCTGTAGAGAAGACCACATCATGACTTCTTTATAGATCTTTTTTCCTTCCCCTCCCTTCTTTTCTTTCCCTTCCCTTCCCTTCCTTTCCTCCTTTTCCTTTCCTATCCTTCCTCCCACCTCTCCCCCTCCCTCTCTCTTTCTTTCTTTCTTTCTTTCTTTCTTTCTTTCTTTCTTTCTTTCTT